AATGATGAAAATGTTCTAGGATGAGACTGTGATGATGGTTGTCCAACTCTATAGATATATGAACCATTAAATAGGTACCTTTTATGAAAGTATACAGATAAAGCTTTAAAAATGTATCAGAATCCATATTCTTTAGGATGAGTTTTCATAGCAACCCAGCAAATCTGCTACTAAATGAACTTTTATCTCATCTTAAAGTTTTTTCACCAGAGCATAGAAATACTCATATTTCTATCTGATAATCAGCAAAGGAACCAAGGAATCACTCAGATGCTAGGTTTCTCCCTGGAGAGTGAGGTGCAAGAGGACAGGCATTTCATTCAATTCACGTAACCTCTTCCCAATGAAATGCTGGTAGAGATTTATTTCACCATCACCCAAAGTGACTTAATGAGAGTAAGTCACACTTTTTAAAATCACTACTTACTCTTTATTTCCTCTCTGCAGGGGGACAAAACACCTAGAAATTTTTAAAAATGATAAGTAGAAAGCTTGGAATTCATAAGGAAGATCCAATCAAATAATAGTTGTCAGTGGTTTTTGCTTGTAAAACTCAGCATAGCACCATTAATTTACATGTTGTCCGAGGCAGGTTGTTAATGACCAGTCTCATTTGACCTATAAAGGAGAGGCATAAAATGGTCAAACAGGGAATTGGTGATGGACAGGGAAGCCTGGCATGCTGCAGTCCATGGGGTCGCAAAGAGTCGGACACTACTGAGAGACTGAACTGAACTGAAACTGGTCAAAGAGCTTGGAATGCCTCTTTAAAAAATACTAAGATCTAGATCAATGACCTAAGAATTGGGTGATTATTCTGGCTTTCCTGGGATGGTTCTGGTTGGTGCCTGTCATCTTGGCATGATTACTAAGAATTTCTCTGACAATGAGACGTGCTGGCCTCCCACCTGGGAGCTGCAGGGGCAGGCGGGAGAACCTCAGTGAGTAGAATGTCCAGCACACACACTTGAGACCATCGGAGTGACTCTTGTTTCTTAAAACCTAGTGCCTAGCCCTAGAAATTCTGACACCCATGCCTGATCAAGGAAGTCTGATCTTGACCATCGACCTGCATTTCAGGGGATGAGAGAGTCATAAAAGGTTACTCTCTAGTGACTTGCCTAAGTTAACTGGGGCTGGAGTTGCAAAACCCAGACAGTAACTCCAGTCTCCCCATTTCTGCTGCCTGCTGAGACCCCGAGTCTCACTCTCAGGCTCAGACCCACGCTGTGTGGACCTAAAGACCACCAGCTGGGACAGTTTTCTTCATTGGTCCCCAGATCGCCCACATTTGGTACACTGCTGTCCACCTGTGAATTAGAGCATACACTGGGTCGTGCAGGGCCTGTTGGTTTACATTTTGTTCTCCAGGATGTTCCTTTATTTAGAATTGACAGTTACCCTCTAAACCTACCATCCATTCTATAAGACCCCTTTAAAAGAATCCGTTTTAGAACAAAACTATTCACAGAGCTAGGTCAAAACAGGTCAGTCACTAAAGGTATCCCCTCCAGCATCTCGATGTCTCAGGCCACGAGGCTCCAATTACCCAAGACTTGAAAGCTGCTTGTTCATATCAGGTATGAGAAACTGGGTGAGAGGGGAGCTGATAGCATTTCTGCAGGACAGCAGGAGCCCATAAAAGTCAAAGAGTCGGACACTACTGAGAGACTGAACTGAACTGAAACTGGTCAAAGAGCTTGGAATGCCTCTTTAAAAAATACTAAGATCTAGATCAATGACCTAAGAATTGGGTGATTATTCTGGCTTTCCTGGGATGGTTCTGGTTGGTGCCTGTCATCTTGGCATGATTACTAAGAATTTCTCTGACAATGAGACGTGCTGGCCTCCCACCTGGGAGCTGCGGGGGCGGGTGGGAGAACCTCAGTGAGTAGAATGTCCAGCACACACACTTGAGACCATCAGAGTGACTCTTGTTTCTTAAAGCCTAGTGCCTAGCCCTAGAAATTCTGACACCCATGCCTGATCAAGGAAGTCTGATCTTGACCATCGACCTGCATTTCAGGGGATGAGAGAGTCATAAAAGGTTACTCTCTAGTGACTTGCCTAAGTTAACTGGGGCTGGAGTTGCAAAACCCAGACAGTAACTCCAGTCTCCCCATTTCTGCTGCCTGCTGAGACCCCGAGTCTCACTCTCAGGCTCAGACCCACGCTGTGTGGACCTAAAGACCACCAGCTGGGACAGTTTTCTTCATTGGTCCCCAGATCGCCCACATTTGGTACACTGCTGTCCACCTGTGAATTAGAGCATACACTGGGTCGTGCAGGGCCTGTTGGTTTACATTTTGTTCTCCAGGATGTTCCTTTATTTAGAATTGACAGTTACCCTCTAAACCTACCATCCATTCTATAAGACCCCTTTAAAAGAATCCGTTTTAGAACAAAACTATTCACAGAGCTAGGTCAAAACAGGTCAGTCACTAAAGGTATCCCCTCCAGCATCTCGATGTCTCAGGCCACGAGGCTCCAATTACCCAAGACTTGAAAGCTGCTTGTTCATATCAGGTATGAGAAACTGGGTGAGAGGGGAGCTGATAGCATTTCTGCAGGACAGCAGGAGCCCATAAAAGACACCGATAACAGTGGCTCAGTGCCACCGTGGTTTCTATACAAATGGATATTTTAACTCCAACCTCTATCTCACCTACTAAATGCCACATAGCTATGACAAACAATAAGTTACCATCTCTCCTGGCCCAGGAAAATCTATACCCATGCAGAGTCTATTGAACAGTTGTTTCCCTCCATCCCAGACCCTGCTGTTTCTATAAGATCCCTTCATCCTCACCCTATCTATAAGAGGGACCAGCGGAGACCAATTCAAAGAACGGTAACATTTTGTTTGGTATGCTCAGGATAGGGGAATGTTCATTAAATAAGAAAAGCTGTAGAATATTCCTGCTTAGTTACTATGTAATCCTAAGAAACACGTCAAGGTCTCACAGGGTCAATATACTATTCATATACTAGTGATGAATGAACACTATGTACATGTTAACCTTCAAAAGCATTCTGAAGAGAAGAGCCTGAGAGAAGTTTCCCTTGGGTGCTCAGTGATGTTTTCCAGCAAAGATGGATTAGGGATGTTCTGTCTAATGAGTCAGCTGCTTTAGAGAAAAGGGGGCAGCTGCGAATGCATGAGAAAGCCCCTGCAGACCCCCACTCTGCAGACATTTGGAGGGTCGAGAGACATGAGTTCCTATCACACAAGCTCTCAGGGATGCAGCCTGATAGCAAGTTTCTTAAGATGCATGACAGGTCACCATTCTCCAGTGTGAACTTTCCAACCTCCCTACACAAAGCTTAGATATGGAAAAAAAAAATTCTGTATGGTCAACTAAGAAGAAAAATCGAGATTTCCTTCGTGAATCCTTTGCTCATATCACCCAGGTGACCAGGGTCTGCTACTTTTCAAGATTTGCAATACAAAGAAAGGTATTTCATCTCAGCGTAAAAGTGGCCTGTTGGATTCTCAACACTACAGAAAAAGCCAAACAGATGAGCTAACCTAAATTCTGAGTTTAATGCTAACATTGTATACGAAAGTTAGGTCACACGGGTATATTCTGTGTCTTGAAGTCCATTTTGGGGAGGGTGGGAGCAAACTACACAGCCTCTGATTATCAAGACTGATAGAGAATCAGAGATCCACAGGTAAAAAAAAAAGAGTCTACTTCAGATTTTCTACAGCTTTTCTTACTTAATGAGCTCTCACTGTTTTCTGAAGCAATGGCAGAATTAAAAGAAAAAACTGCTCTCTTTAGTTGCATTAGACCTGCAAGTATACTAAAAAATAGTCATATACTTTAAATGAGTGAGCCGTATAATATGTGGATAATATCTCAAGAAAGCTATTTTAAAATGCTGTTAACTTTTATCAGCAAAAGAAAACCACAAATAACAAAACATGAAAGTTCCTAGATTGTTGTATAAGCCATGGTCTTGCTGTCACCCAGAAAACTAGGTCTGCCCTGGGAGGGGGGCTTTTCAGAGTTTGATGAAAGGTACTTTAACTTGGCTTTTTGTTCTTACAATGACTGAGGCAGGTCCAAGGGTGAGGGACGGGGGCTATGGGATCAGAACTCACTTGGAACACGGGCTGATCACAGTTGGTGTGGGTGGGTAAACCAAGGCAACATTCACTCGCTCGCTGCCGTTCTTGGGGCAGATGATCTCTGCCACTCCCTCTGGTCTGGGCTGACTCAGCAACTCCCCTGCAGGCAGAGAGAGAAACAGGTGTTAATGAGTGGGGTATCTAGAGCTTGTATGAAAGTTCTTGTGAGAATCTACTCACAGGGTATCATCCTAGTAGCTTTCAGTGTTTTGTGTGCATGTGTATGTTTGTGTCTGCACACATCTAAATCTGTGCTGTGCTTCTTCTCTTGGTCATGTCCGACTCTTTGCTACAACATGGACTGTAGCCCGCCAGGCTCCTCTGTCCATGGGATCCTCCAGGCAAGAATACCGGAGTGGGCTGCCATGCCCTGCTCCAGAGGATCTTTACAACCCAGGGATCAAACCCAGGTCTCCCGCACTGCAGGTGGATTCTTTACCATCTGAGTCACCAGGGAAGCCCTAATGAGTGAGACTTGCCTTCAAAAATAGGACCACTTTGTGACTTCCCTGGTGGTCTAGTGGTTAAGACTCTGCACGGGGCACAGGTTCAATCCCTGGTCGGGGAACTAAGATCCCACATGCTACACAATATAGCAATGAATAAATACAGGTTTAAAAAAACAAATGGGACCACCATAAACAGGAATCCAGCACTTGGGGGTGGGGGGAACAGGGGAGGCAGGAAGGAGAGAGAGTCGGAGAACAAACGATCAATCAGAGCAAAACAGGCTCTGTCCTTAGAACATTCTCCACGGTGAAGCGGACAAGCTGCTAACGGTGGTGGTGGGAAGGCCACCGTTCCAGACAAAGGCAGCATCTGCCGCTATTTTCCTCACCTTCCTTTCCACAGACAGGCTCCAGAGATCTGTATCTAGATGTCGCGGCAAACTGAGCCAGGGTCCCTGGAGCCCCAGAGAGGCAGAGCTGCCAAGGAGGCGTTCGTAATTAGGATCCAGGCAGATGGGAGTCGCGGCAGCCTTGCAGCAAAGCCCTGCGTTAATGATCTGGAAGGGCATTCGACTAAAGGTGTGTTATCAAGGTAAACAGCCCAGCTTCAAGCTGGCAAGAGGATTTCCTGGGTAGGTAGGTGTGCAGATTTGAAAGGACCAGCACAGTGCTCTCTTGTGAGTCACTGGAGCTAGTAAAAACAGATAATTCACTTACTGGATTACCACAAGCCCCAAAGGCAATCTGTGTACTCTGCCCTGGATACAAACTCTCCAACCAGATCATCAAATCCCCCCTAAGACCAGCGACGCCTTCGGTTTCCTCCCCACCATCCACTTAACCAGGAGCACCCTGATCTTTCTTTGTTTTCATGGTCAGCATGGTGCTCTTGCTCAGAAAAATTCAAAAAATAGATTTTGGCAGACAATGGTGCCAAATTCCCCTACTTACAAAGTAAATAAACCAAAGAGACAAATCATATGCCAACTGGGGAAAGATGCTACTGCAAAAAAACCACCGACTCTGTGACAGCCATCACTTGTATTACTGATTTGAAATTCTGGGGAACCAGAGTGTATGCCAACATGTGAGGATACAAACCAAAAATCCTTTGCCTCAGAATCCATATATCTAAACATCTCACCTTCAGCAGAACTCACGTTGATAGAGCATAACCATAATGCCAGCACTGAACACACAGCTTTAAATATACATCTCATTTCATCTTTGCAATGTTACTATAAGGTTTATCCTCATTCTGCAAAAGTGAGAAGTGTGAAAGTGTTAGGTCACTCACTTGCATCTGACTCTTTGAGACCCCATGGACTGTAGCCGGCTGGGCTCCTCTGTCCATGGAATTATCCAGGTAAGAATCTGGAGCCGGTTGCCATGCCCTCTTCCAAGAGATCTTCCCGACCCAGGGATTGAACCCAAGTCTCCCATTGCAGGCAGATTTGTTAGCATCTGAGCCATGGGGGAAGGCTGTTTTGTAAAAGAGGAAGCTAATCTGCAGGGAGGTTATGTGATGTTCCCAGAGTCAAGCCTCGGCAGGGACTGACTGGGCAACGTGACCTGGGCAGCCCATCTCTGGGGCTCTTCCCCCCGACCCCCGCACGGTGGAGACTGGTGCTTTACCCCAGAACATATCTTTCCTAGAAAAGTAGTCCCCAAATGCTATTATTCAGTAATGAACTAAGTATTGACATATTTGTACTCTTATGAAAGACACCTGTTTTTATGACTTTGAATAATATGAATCTAATGTAATTTGAGTTTCTTAGCCGAGCTAAGGGCTTGCAGGAGACGTAAGGGATGCAGGTTTGATCCCTGGGTTGGGAAGATCCCCTGCAGGAGGGCATGGCAACCCATTCCAGTATCCTTGCCTGGAGAATCCCATGGACCAAGAAGCCTGGGGGGCTATGGTCCATGGGGTTGCACAGAGGCAGACACGACTAAAGTGGCTGAGCACGCACAACCAAACTAGTATAAACGGCAAATGACTGCAAAAGTTAATTTAGCATCATTAGCTTGTATCATGGATACATGGTTTCTGATACCAGCTAGAAAAAGATCTCAAATTATAAAAAGGAAAATTAAAACCATAAACATTAAATGCTCTCGAAGTCATAAAAAAGAGTGTGTTACACCAGACTGAACCTTGGAAGTCATCCAGTCCAAATACCACTTTATGAGTCAGAAGCTCTCTGAGTTTAACAGATTTGCTCCGAGTCCCACAGAGAGCTTTAAACCAACCAACCGCCTGTGTACCATGGGGTTATGACTGCCCCAAGAGGATGTTCTGAACCACTCATGCCTGTTAATGTCCCCACTCCTGGGCCGCCCTCCCCTGTTCCTCACCTGGTATTTTCAATTTCTACTTTCTGTCCAAAGGTTACTCCCAAGGCTTGAACCTAGACTGGAGATCTCTGGCTTCCCCTGAGGACTCTCTCCTGGTTGGAATTTTCACACAGGCTTGACTCCTTCTGCCTGCAGCTGCCTAAGAGCCCAGGATAACAAATGCTGACGGTAAGCCCCCAGCCTGGCTTCCCTGATTTCTCCGTGGTAAAGAATCTACCTGCAATGCAGATGTGGGTTCAATACCTGGGTTTGGAAGATCCCCTGGAGGAGGAAATGGCAACCCACTTCAGTATTCTTGCCTGAAAACCCCATGGTCAGAGGAGCTTGGTGGGCTACAGTCCTAAAAAAGGGTTGCAAAGAGTCGGACATGACTGAACTACTGAACACACACGGCACAGCCGCAGGCGGCGGTTTCTGCATGGCTGGCTTCCTTGCTGGGGCTACTGTGGTGAGAAGACCGGTTTGCCAGAGGATTCGAAATAACTTGCAGTTGACTATTAAGCATTGGCTATCAGTTTCTCTAAACCAAGAGCTTTATGCTCCCCGCCCCAGATTTCCAGACTCACAAAGATCTAGGTAACTGGTTTTGTTTGGGTCCTACCCCAGCAGGGCTGCTAGCCATTGAAACAGTTGGAAAATTGAAGTCCTCAAGAAATGTCATGCATATGAAAAATTCACTTGAACTGTGGAGGACAGAGCAAGAAACAGAATTGCTTACAAGCTCCAGGACACATGTGCACTCAAATAAGCTACTGTATGGGGCCAGGGTTCTGAGAATTTAAGAAATGTGCCCAGTTGCTGAATTAGAAAGTAAGAAAAATAGCCTCCCCCCCCACCAGAAAAACCCCCAAAACTAATCAATAATACAGAGAGTGGTTCCTAATGTGTTAGCTACTTAAAATAGAAGCTAAATCGGCTCAGATTTCCATAACACAAACTTGATTTTCAAACAAAAGCAGGGCTATTGGTTGAGCATCTAATTAGTGGGGCTTCTCTGATAGCTCAGTTGGTAAAGAATCTGCCTGCAATGCAGGAGACCCAGGTTTGATTCCTGGGTCAGGAAGGTCTGCTGGAGAAGGGAAAGGCTACCCACTCCAGTATTCTGGCCTGGACAATTCCATGGACAAGTCCATGCGGTTGCAAAGAGTTGGATACGACTGAGCGACTTTCACTTTAGGGAGATCTTACTGTGTGAGGAGAGCAGGGATAGAGGAGTCTAACGCTAGGACCTTGAGGGGGAGGGTTTGGGCATTGGAGAGAATCACGTACACGAAAAGAAGAACGATGTACTTACTGTGTGTGGTGGGTGCCCCAAAGGAAGTTATGAGATGCTAGAGAATGAATGAGAAGGACAGACTAATAAGAAGGACAGAAGGACAGTCCTGATTTGCAGGACTGGAAAAGACCTAGAAGTGTGGCAATATTAGATTTATGATGCATCTGTTATTACTAGCAAACGCTAATAAAAAAATTCCAAAGTTGGTGGGAACTGCAAGATGAAATGTCATATTCACAGAAAATGTGTTACCAATAGAGTAAGGAGAAATATACATGAGACCTGGTATATTTCCATTTTTAGGGATTTACTTCAAGGAATGGGTCTTTCTTTCTGGCAAAAATTATACAATGACTATTCATAGCAACACTGTTTATATAACAGTGAAAACTTGGTAACCATCTCAAATGTTCAACAAAGAGGAAATGATTAAAAATTATGACACAACTCAGCAGACAGAATTCTCTGTAGTCCTATAAAACACTGAAAACTTGGTAACCGTCTCAAATATTCAATGAAGGGGAGATGATTAAAAAGTAAGACACAGTTCAGAAGAAAAAAATTCTCTGTAGTCAGTAAAAACAGACTGATATTTCTATGTAGAAAGTAAATTTGAAAGTGCATTCTCATTAGAAACATAAACTGATAAGGAACACAAATGGATTTGGAGTGAAATGGGTCATTCAGGCCTAAAGGTCCTCAGGTAATTTATTTTTATGCTTGAGTCAATTAAGAAAAAGACTAAGTATGCTTCATACTGATGGGAGGTGCCAGCTTTAAATGCTGGTGCTTTCTCCTCTGTTGGCAATTTTCTATTCATGTAGGGTCTTCATACAGTCTTCCTGAAGAAGCAGAAATCTGGCCAGATGAACAGACCACTGCATCCACTGAGGTTACACAGCTTACGGTCTCTTTGTGCCCATTAAAGTTATGAAAAGCTATTCTTACTTAATTACTTTGTCTCAAGATTTCTGGTTAACATGCTAGTGAACTCTCATCAGCTGTTTTTCCCCTTATGAAAAAATAGAAAACCAAGTTTTATTATGACTTATCTTTAAACAACAGAAGATAAGTGAAATGACCTTGTCTTTTTTCTGCTTATCATCAGAATTCACAAATATTGGCACATTATGCAAAATACTGAAAGTGTATTACTCTGACCAAACCACAATATTTCAAAAGCCCCAAACCTGTCTTTTTCTGTGCAAATAAAACCTGCTTCCTAATCCAGGAAGTTCTGAGTTATCAACATCCCTCAAAACAGAAAAGTGGTCTGGAAATTTTAAAATAAGCAATTATACAGGTATTAAACAAGGAATTATCTAGATTTCGAGGCATCGTTGAGTTGGAATATTCTAAAGTTCACTCCTCCACTGCCCAAAGTCCACTGCTGTCTTTTAATTCAACTTGACGCTGGATGAAGCAGCGTCATGATACACAAATACATGTTTCCCCATCCCCTCAGGGCAAAGGCAGTACCCTCAGAAACGGATGAGCAGGAAGGCTCCCACTCTGCAAGCCCACAGAGTTATCAGAGAAGCAAAAATGGGAGAACCCCACAGTCACTTTTATATGGAAGACGAGAGCCAGAGAAAAATAAAAGGACATCTTGTCTTAGAATAAAACCTAAAAAGTATACACATAGGAGGAGTCAACACTGGAAAAGTAAGTTAGTGCAGCCACTATGGAAAAAGTATAGAGGTTCCTCAAAAAATTAAAACAGAACTACCCTATGGTTCAGTAGTTCCACTCCTGGTTATGTATCTGGGAAAACACTAATTTGAAAAGATACATGCACCTAATTTTCATAACAGCAGTGTTTATAATGGCTAAGATATGAAAGCAACCCAGATGCCCATCACTGGGTAACTGGATAAAGAAGATGTAGTGTATACATACAATAGAATGTTACTTGATCATAAAAAAGAATGGAATGTTGCCACTTAGAGCAACGTCAAAGGACCTAGAAAACATTATGCTTAACAAAATAAGTCAGAGAATGAAGAACAAACACTGTATGATGCTACTTATATGTGAAATCTAAAAAATACAAACAAATGTCTATGGCGAAACAGAAACACTCACAGGTACAGAAAAACTAGTGGTTACCAAAGGGAAGAGGGAAGGGGGAGGGACAGTTTAGGAGTACGATATTGATACAAAATAATATACATAAAATAGATAAGCAACAAGGATATACTGTCAGCCCTGGGAATTATAGCCATTATCTCATAATAACATATAGTGGAGTATAATCTGCAAAAATGAATCACTACAGTGTATACCTGAAACTAACACAAACTGTAAGTCAAGTGCATCGAATAAAAACATAATAAAAACATACCACTGTGTGCACTCAAGGGCATGAGAAAAGGGAACAGAAGCAATCCCTCGTACCTGTGGGTTCCCACTAAACCAGCTGTTGCAGGTCTGACTGCCTCATTCTGGCTCAGGGGAGGGTCCCCAGAGCTGAGCCTCCTCACAGCACAGTGGCTGGGAGGCTCCAGGTGGGCCACTGCTTCGAAGAAATAGAGTCTGTTGTACCTTTTGGTGGTCTTGATTTTAAAAAAATCCATTGTGACTATGAGTTAATGACTTTTTAAGAAGAGAAACTGACACAGAGGAAGTAACACAGCGAGTCCATGTCAAGAGCAACAACAGACCTGGGCCCTCTATCCCCAAGCCCAGGATTGGACCCATCACCAGCTGACATCTTTATCACGAGGTAAAGATACTTATAAAAGTATCTTAAAGGGCCATTTTATAATAGCCAATTGGAATAAATGGGAAAAAAGTTTTAAAACCAAGGGATATGGGTCACAAACTGTCACTGAATGTGGTCTTTTCTATCATATTTAAATGAAAGGTGAAATTTACAAGTAAATTTAAAATCAGAATGAATTAAAGGTAATGTGGCTTTGGAATTGTTTTTGGAAATCTTAACCTTTCAGTATACAGGAGGCACAGTAACTTAAGAGGCAGGAATGACTTTACTGGCAAAAGAAATCCTGGTATAAATCAGATATGAAACAAAAGAGGAAAATTTATGTCCTAGGCCTGGTTCTGCCACTGAGTTCACCATTCATTCAACAGGTACATAACCACCACCAACTAATGTGATGCAGGCAGCTCCAGAGACTCTGAGAGAACAGCAGGGAATGAGGTAGACAACGGTCCCTGATTTCGTGAAGCTTAGAGTGTAGGAGGAAGATTGGTGAGGAAAAAAAACTGCTAACTACTTAAAACCTCATTACACAGATCATTAAAACAGGGTAATGAGAGAAAGAGATTGACTGGGTTGCCTGAGATGCCTCTTCCGAGTTGGTGATGCTAAAGCTGAAATCTGAATGATAAGGAGAAGCAAACCATGGGAAGAACATTCCAGGCCGAGGAAACCACTAATGCAAAATCATGAAAGTAGGAAGACGCTTGGTTGCCCAGTCTAGATTGTGGGGTGAAGGAGAAACATGACAAGAGGAGGAAGGAAGGAAGTGAGGCCCAGATCATGGGGACTCTGCAGACCAGGGGGACTGTTTGGTTTTTATTCTAAGTGGTAAAGAGCCATGCAGAAGGTTTTAAATGGGGTAACAGCATCTGATCTGAGAAGATCACTCTGGCGGCTGTGTAAAGACGGCAAAAGGAAGGCGGGGGGGACTTGAGGGGGCAGAGAGATGAGCCCAGGCGAGAGGTGGTAGAGGCCTGGTCTGGAGAGGCGCCTACGGAGATGGAGAGAATGATGTGTTCTGTAGGCAGTCAGCAGACTTCCAATGACTTGGATGTGGAGGTAAGAGGCGGAGAATAACCAAGGGTAATTCCAAATCTTTGGTCTGGGAAGATGACAGCTAGTGGTGCTATTTGTAAGACTAAGAGAGAAGTGACTTGTGGGAAGGGGAGAAATTAGGAGCTCTCTTTTGGTCAAGTTAGATCTGACTTGACCTGAGATCCGAAAAGAGATCTGAGCTCTCGTTTGGTCAAGTTAGACAAGCATGGTAATACATAATAAGTGTGCAACTACTTTTTAAATTCTGGACTTAGGGGGAAAGGTTAAGGCTGGAGGTAGAGAGTCGGGAGAAATCAGCAAACATGTGTAAACATGGTAATACATAATAAGTGTGCAACTACTTGTCCAATTCTGGACTTTGGGGAAAAGGTTAAGGCTGGAGGTAGAGATTTGGGAGAAATCAGCAAACATGTGATCCGGTAAAGGCATAAAAGTGAATGAGGTCACCCAGGAAAGTAAGTAGATAGAGAAGCGAAAGGAACTGGAGACAGAGCCTCGGGTTCTCCTAGCTGACGGCTGAAAGATGCGAGGCCGGCCAGGAACTGCCATGAGGCAGGAGATCATGGCTTCACAAAAGAAACCAGACCCCTTCAAGAAAAAGGGGTGACCAGCCGTACCAAATTCTGCTTGGTGGAAAGCAAAGTAACAGACAAAGGGCCACTGGGTTTGGAGGTGACAGGAGCCTTTGACAGAAGGTGGGGATGGGTGTGTGACTGAAAAGGCCTGAGGAAAGAATGGGAGGTGGAAATGGGGGCCACAACCAGAAACAATTTTCTAAGACGCTGTGAGTTATGTTGTACCTGCCATTTGTACTCTGAGCTGGTTACCCCACACCTGAAAAACAGAATTGGGCAAGTGGCGTTGTTCATCTCTGAGTTTTTTCCCGCTCTAAGGCTCTGTGTCTGACTACTAAAATGAACATGTGGGTAGATGCAGGAGTGAGTGATTGAAAGATCACAAGGCTTAGAAGATAAAAAAGAGAAAGGAACCCAGCAAAAGGGCCCTGGAGGCCGATGTGATGAACTGCAAACAAAGCAACTGACAATGGATTTATCTCCAAAATATACTAACAGCTCATGTAACTCAATATAAAAAACAACCCAATCAAAAAATGGGTAGAACGTCTAAGTAGACATCTCAACAAAGACATACAGATTGCCAAAAAGCCCATGAGAAGATGCTCAACATCACTAATTATTAGAGAAATGCAAATTAAAACTATTAATACAATGAGGTATCACCTCACACCAGTCAGAATGGCCATCATCAAAAAAATCTATACACAGTAAATGCTAGAGAGGGTGTGGAGAAATGGGAACCTTCTTACACTATTGGTGGGAATGTAAATTGGTACAGCCACTATGGAGAACAGTATGGAATTTCCTTAAAAACTAAAAATAGAACTACCCTATCATCCAGCAATCCCACTCCTGCACTTACACCCAGACAAAACCATAACTGCAAAAGATTACATGCACCCCAGTATTCACTGCAGCACTATTTACAAAAGCCAAGACATGGAGGGCAGGAAGAGACAGGAACGACAGAGGGTGAGATAGATGGCTGGATGGCATCACTGACTCAGTGGACATGGGTTTGGGTGGACTCTGGGAGTTGGTGATGGACAGGGAGGCCTGGCGTGCTGCAATTCATGGGGTCGCAAAGAGTCGGACACGACTGAGTAACTGAACTGAACTGGAAGCAATTTAAATGTCCACTGACAGAGAAGTAGCTAAAGAAGACGTGGTACATATATACAGTGGAATAATAATGCCATAAAAAATGAAATAATGCCATTTGCAGTAACATGGATGGACCTAGAGACTGTCATACATAGTGAAGTCAGAGAAAGACCACATCATATGACATCACTTATATATATATATATATATAATCTTAAAAAAACCAAACAAACAGTACAAGTGAACTTATTCACAAAACAGAGGTAGAGTTACAGATGTAGAAAACAAACTTTTGGCCCCGGGGGGAAGGATAAACTGGAAGTTTGGGATTAACATATACACTTTATTATTGTATAAAGATAATTAACAAGGACCTACTGTATAGCACAGGGAACTCTACTTAATACTCTGTGATACTCTGTATGGGAA